CTTGTTAGTTTTGGGCTCTCCAGTATGGGTTGTTAGGGAAAATGGTCCCCCAAGTAAAGGCTTCCCAATGCTTCGATGCCGTTCCTTCTCCAGCTCTTAAAAGAGACACCAAAAATGTCATTCGAACCACAAGTATCTGAATACTTGACATGAGATCAGCACTATTCTAATAACAATGTGTGGGTAGGGCAGAATGTGGAAGTAGTTTCAGTTTTCAAGAAATCTTTTCAGAAAAATAAAATAATAAAACAAATCCAAATTAAATTTTATGGCATGTAATAAGCACCATAAGAAAGTACTAAAAACATTCCTTGTGCTTTCAGAACATCAGGTGTGGCTGCACTGAGAGTGGGGCAGGGGCCACAGGCACCTAGAACAGATGTCTGAGCCCAAGTCAGGTAACCGTGGGGGATGGGGTGTGTGTGTGGGTGCCTGGGGCTGAGTGGGTTGGGCGGTGGGGCCTCATTTGCATACACAGAATTAATTTAAAAAATGTAAAATATATTACAGATAATGGAAAAGGAGTCAAAACTACAGACAGGGAGAGAACTACAGTGAACCTTGTAGAACTACAAAGGAGTCAGAGGTGCCAGTCTAAGTTTATGATTTCATTTCAATGTAGTACACACACTCTTCAAGTGAACAGAAATAGACTTTTGGAGAAATGGCTGACAGCAGCAAGATTGAGGCAAAGAAAGATGAGCCTGGACCCTCCTGTGGCAGAAATAAGGAAAAACTCAAAAGAATACTGGAGTATTTTGTCAGAAGAAAAAAAGCTTAACTGAAGAGGCTTCCATTAGCGACTTCAGTACTCTGAGTACCAAAATAAAAATAGTGGATTTCTTTTCTTTATATGTACTTAGTACAGGGTCTACAGGGTCTCACTATACAGATCAGAATGGTAGTGATCCTCCTGTTTTTCAGTCTCCCAAGTGGTGGGATTACAGTCATGCGCCATCACACTCCAGAATGGTGGATTTCAATTACCATACATACAGAGAACCATGATTTCTCACTGACATAAACAAATGAATAAACTGAGCGATTAAAGCAAGCAACACATGCAAATAAAATGTGCAAATACCTATCACAAAATATATACAAGACCAACTTTTCAGGAGACAAGGCTGATTGACATTTTAACCCAATAACCAAACTGAACAACGTTAACAATGGGACAAACTGATGCTGTGAGGCACTTGACTAGATCAAATGAGGACAAAACACTGCTTCTGTGATATTTCTGCCAAAGAAGCATGAGTTTATCTAACCAGGAGAAAATATCAGACAAAACCACACCCAAGGCTATTCTGCAAAACAGCTTATAATCCTTAAGACTGTCAAGATCATAAAAGTCAGGAAGTCTGAAAAACAACTGCTGGAAACTAAAAAGACAACTGGAAATAAGGTATGATTCTATTATAAAAGATGTGAAGGCCAGATGTGGTGGCCCATGCCTCTAATCTCAGCACTCAGGAGGCTGAGGCAAGAAGACTACTGTGAATTTGAGGCCAGTCTGATCTACATACAGTCAGATCCTGACTCAAAAAACAAACAAACAGGCAAACAAAAAAGATGTGAAAACAGCACAACAGGAAGATTAAACCTGAAATTAAATTTGAGACTCAAGTTAATCTTGGTTTTCTGATTTTGATGGTTGCAATGTGATTATACTGCAGACTGTTCTTGTCTGTAGAAAATATACCACCTCTACTGTGTAGTGAGGAAGCATGTTACCAAATACTGACAATTAGGGAACACTGAGAAGACTGTCTCATAGTGAACTTTTATAATAAAACAAATATGATTGTGAGTAAAATTCCAAACTAAGGTCAAAAGAAGCTTGTATATTTTGTAACTGTTTCGGCTGTCTTTTTTTAGCTTCTATATTTTTTTGTCTGTGTGTGAAATTAAAGGAAGTTGCTAAAGTATGACAATCACATTAATAACGCTTGTTACATAAAAGTCACACAGTTATACCAATAGCAACACAGAGGCTATTTTGCTAAAATTCTAAAGTCTATGAACTATCACTCCCAGATTTCAATACAATGGGATCAGAAGACTACATAATTAAATTAAATTTAAGTGGTATTTGAAAGATTTACCTTAAACTTCCTATCTTAAAAGTCCTGGAATAAACACTGTAACATTGGATTCCTTCTTTTTTTTTTTTTCTTTCTGGATCTTTCAAGATACTACATTAGAGCAGTAACAGGCTCTCTTTAACCATGGTCAGAAAGACCTCTTCTTAAACCCCCAGGAAGTCTTCTCAAAATAAAGATTAGGCCTTCCTATGGCCCTCAAGCACCAGAGTTTCCTCTGGCTTCACAGAACCTCATACAGTGAAACCCTTTCCTTCTGTTTTTCTATTGTGTGCACTGCAAGTGTGGAACAGCATTTCAGCTATTTTTGCATCCTCTAGATTTCATACTGCCCACATTCAAATCCATAATACATCTTTTAAGATCACTAATGGTATCCTGAATTGGATCCTGGAAAAGCAAAAGACAATGATGAAATAATCCGTAAGACATACAGTCCCAAATAAACTCTAGTTTTAGTTATACTTTTGTACCACATTTCTTTGGTACCATGTGTTTTATGGGTGTGGTCTCATTGCACAAGATGGTAACCTATGTGTTACCATGAATACCTAGAAACTGCAACAAAAGGGTCTTGATCACATAAAGTTTCTTGCAATTTTCTTGGGTTCTAGTTCTAACCTGAAAAGAACTTAACACCACTATTTTAAGTGGTCTGGCCATCGCTATATAAGATGTTAATGTTGTAGTAATCTGGGTGATAGCTATGCTGGGAGATTTTTATACTGTCTTTGCAACTTCTCTGTAAATCTAAAACTATTTCAAAAGTTGAAAAACAACCACAAAAAGGGTGTTGGTACATGGCTAGGAAAGATCTTATTCAGACCTGAGCAAATGACATGTACTTACTTTCTGTCTTTTCCTTCTTGAAGTACTTCATTCCAGCCAGTAAAGCCCCTCCAATAGCAAATGTAATTGCTAAAGATTTCCAGGAAACAGGCTACTAGGGCAGAGATTTCAAAGATAAAAATACAAGTAAGATGAAAACATTTAACCGTGCCAAATTTCTTGTAGTTTTTAATATCCATATGTAGGCCATGGTTTTGTTCAATATACAGAATGTTTCAAGTTATTCTGGGACACTAAACATTTCTGAGGATGAGGTTTATATCCAGGCTCTGCATATATACAATGATAAGGACACTCACAGTTTAATTTCTTGTTCAGAGGAAAAATCAACAGAAAGAACTACAGGTCTCATGGCTGTTACTATGTGCAACCCTGGCTCTTTTTATTTATTTAAAAAAACAAAGTTCCCCATGGTGGCCTAGACCTGTAATCCCAGCAGTATGGGAGGCTGAGGAAGGAGGACTGAAAGCCAGGCTGGGCAATTTAAAGGGACCTTGTCTCAAAATTTTACACGGTGGTGGGGGTGAGGTTTGCTGCAGATTTAGCCCTAAATTGAAGCCCAAGTACTGCACAATCAATAGGTTACCATCTTGTGCAGTGGGGCCACACCCATAAAACTAATACGGGCGGTTAACCTAACTTTAGCTGCCAGAAGTAGCAACTAAAGTAGAAAAGCGTGCTAAAAAGGTGGGAGTTCTTACAAACTGCATCGTTACTCCTTTTTATTTCTTCAAGTCCCCAAATAAGGAAGATCTCTGTCACCTAGGCATGACTCAATAACCTTGCGTTAGCTCTGAAACTCTACTTCTCTTACCTATCAGTACAGCACAGTGGTTTTAAGTTCTTTTGGGGTTAAAACTAGAACCCTGGAAAATCGGAAGAAAGTGGTATACAGGTATGTGACCAAGAGCCCTCTTTTGTTTCAATTTCAAGGTATTCATGGAAAGTCTTAAGAGGAATTCAACTGACAGACATTTTAAACGTGCTCTGACTCGTCAATCACGGTAAACTTAAGGTTGAGGTCGATAGGAAAACCTGAAACACATCTTATCGGTACAAGAGTTAACTTAAACTCCAAAGCCGAGTACGTAGCTACGCACAGAGGGTGCAGCTTCTCAAGTGCTCTCTTGAGCAGCGGGGCTCTCGAGAAACGAGAATGAGATTCTACGACCCAGGTAACCCGACCGAGTTGAGGTCACTTTGAAGCAAGGCCGAGTAGCTCCTGAGGTTACGACCAAGTGGGATGGAAACCCCACTGGGATGGGTCAGCCGCAACGAGCGCTGCGAGGACTGCAGGTGCACACTCACCCCAGGCTTCGAGGGGTTCGTGGGGTCTCTGTGACCCTTAGGCTCGGGTCCTGATGACTTCGGGGGTGGCGGCAGCCCCGTGCTGAAGGGCCGGCTTCCGCGGCACGCGCTGGGGCTCCCCGAGACCCGCCGCCCCACTTCCTGCCGCGCACAGAACTGCCCCAGCAACACCTTCGCAGTCCTCTCCGCTGGGCTCCGGAGCCAGAGTCCAAGAGGAAGGAGACGCCAAAGTTGGCCCCCCGGAGCGCGCACCAACCCAGCCATGAGCCCCAGTCGCCCGCGTCTTCTTTGACCCGCCCCTCGACTTCCGGTTCCCTTCCGCTTCCGCCGGAAGTCGCTGGAAGCCGCTCTTTCCGCTCATCTCGGTGATGTTGTGCTAGCCTAGTGAGTCGTCAAGGAGCGCTGGCGGAGGACCGGTGAGAGGTAGGCGGCGACTCTCGGGCGAGTCTCGTCCAGCGCGGCTTCAGGGGTCCTGCAGAGGGGAGTGGGCCTGCAGGGGAGGTGGCCGCGGAACCACTGACGGGTCCGGGCTGCGCGATGGGGCCTGGCGCCCCGAGGGGGCTCTCGGGTGGGCGTGGGTTTTCGGGACGGCAGCCTACCGGCCCTTGCCGGGTCGGTGGCGGGACGGGGTGACTGACGCTCGGCATCCTGCCCTGCATGTGGTCGGCCAAGTAGGCACGGGCCGCTGGCCCCTTCGCATCCCCAGATGAGCAGTTGACTCGTTATTCTTCACGTAATCCTTAATTTTTTAAAAATGCTAAGAAGTATTTGAGAGGATAGTGTGATCTCTAAAAGGAAGTTTTGTCTGAAGTGCCCCGCACTTGTAGCTGCCCTCGCCTATCGCAGCCTTACTGTAACGCGCAGCACGTCATGGGAGGCATCTGCTGCGTCGTGACCTCCCTGTAACTTCGCGTCCCGCGGCCTTAGCTTCCTAAAATGCCCCGTCTGGAGCCCAACCCCTTGGTTCCGTGTTTTAAAGTTTGTTTATGGCAGGGTTTTTTATTTTTTTATTTTGGCGGAACCGGGGATTAGAATTGAGGCCCTTGCGCTTGCCAGGGAAGCACTTATTCCACTGAGCCATCTCCCAGCTTCCTCATCTGGGACTGTTTATGTTACTCGGATATAACTACATGATAGTGAGACGAAGAGCGTTTTGTTTGTAGGTTTATTTTACATTCCTTGGGAAACTTTAACTCGAATTCATTCCATCTGCCTTTGTTTATGTCTCAGTATCTGCAGTCTTCTCCCCCATTCCCATTTGCAAAAATAAAGGAAAATCCCCATCTGTCTTCCTTAAGTACAGTTTTCACTCTTAGGTGGCATTTTTTTTTTTCTCCAAGGGCGTTCAGAGCAGAAGGAACTATTGGTTCAGTGATCACTGTACTGGAGCATTTTTATATATGCATATGGATATTAGAATATATATGTATAA